GCTTAAATATATAAGTTTACTAGAGATTTTATGTGAGAAAAAACTTACTTTTATTTGTCCGAAAAAGTCAGTCACTACAGCTTTCACTCAATAGAAGTCACAGTGACACCTAAAAAGCTGTAAGCAATTCTTTTCTGAGGAAAGGACCTTTATTGCAATAACCAATACAAAGACTACAATATTCCACGTCTGATTGACAAGGATTTTACTATTTTTTAAATTTGTTCCCGGAAAAGTTAATTTATCATCAAAAATTAAATCTACATCGCTAAACATTTTAACGTAACTTTAATTTATAATTTTTGAAATATATAGGAGGAAGATGAGGATGGAGAATCAATGAATAGCACATTATAACGGTTTTCTGAATATGAATATTTAAATTGCGCGTTGTGGAAACTGGAAGGATAGAATTTAAGTCGGTTTGTACAGATGAGTTGTGAGTTAGAATTTTAATCTCGTCTGTGTAAGCTCTTAACTTTGAAGATATATTATTAAATAGGTACTGAAAAAATAAGCTGCTTAGTACAAAACCTTGAGGAATCCCACATATTGGTGTAAAATTAAGGAATTCAGAATCACCTAGGCTTATTTTACAGTGTCTTGATAAAAGGTAGTTATTTAATCAATTATGGAACACCGGATTTAAGTCGAAATAATCACGGAGTGGAGTAATTATAGATTGGAGGGAAAAAATCAAATGCTTGAGATGTGTACATCTGCTATATAAGCAACACCTTCTCTCTCAGAATTCTGTAAGGTTGCCGACAGGGTGCAAAAATGTCAAGAGGGTCGAGCGGTTGCGAAGAGTCGCATGTGGGCGATCGGCACTGAGACAGACTACGGTTACAAGAAACCGTTTATTTGACACGAAAGAAGCTTACAAGATTTCCGCGATCTTGGAAGTTCTACGTCGTCCTCTTCTTTCCAAGATAGTCCCATTTTGAAGGAGTGTCCCTGGTTCGCGAATGACCAATTCCATCGACGACTCCGGGACGATGCGGTCGACTTCTGTTGATAAAAAGATGTCGATCCGAGGTCGGGAGATGCAGACGAAGATGGGCACGAGACACACACACAATAATAGATCCGTCACTTGGAACTTTCGGGAGAAGCCGTCGCGTCCTTGAATTCTCAGGTTTTATCTGTTTTCCTCCGATTCCACTTTCCGATTGGTCTCTCCTCGTCAGAGTCGTCATCTGGTGATAATTCGAAACCTTTCGGGGGTGCGAATATCGAAGTTTAATTCGATTCCCATTCGGAGATAGAACAATGGAAAAACGAAGATCGACTATTGTTTAAAAGTTCGCGTCATTTTCATTAAGAAAAACTATTTTTATTTTTTTCTCAAAAAAAAAAAAAAAAAAGATAAAATCATTTATTTTTAAGGACAAAATTAACGCGAATTTCAGTGAGGTTCGGACCTGTCCAAAGCATCACAATTCTATCTATTGTTTCAAAGTAAGTTTATACAAGTTGAGTAATTTCGTCTTCCACATTGTAGGATAGGATGTAATTTATAAGCTATTCGTTTATATACTTTTTCGTAAAAACATATTTCGAATATTTTTAGCATGGCTGACGAAATTGTCATTGGTCTATATGTTACCGCTAAAGCTCGAAATCCGTTAATGTGTACATTACCTAGCTAATCTGCAGATTAACTAGGGTGATCCGTTAAAGCTGCGAAAATTGTTCAATTTCTCAAATTACCTAGGTAATTTGCAGAGTATCTAGGTAATCTGCACATTAACGGCTTCCGTATCGTTAAAGTTCAAAAGTTTGTTTCTTTCACTTCCTTTCCCCACTCCTTCTTTTTACGTAGATAAATTTAAATCCTAGAATGCAAGCAAGCACCGAATTGGTGAGTAAAATCAAGAAAAGATTCTTCGCAAACCTCTTTAGCGAAGATTTAAAATATAATACGTAGTGTTTTAATAACAAACCAAAGTATGATTCCATAATTGAAGATGTAAAGCAAATAAAAGTTTCCAAGAAGAAAGAATCATCTCGAGATTATCAAATAATTCAAAGGTGTGATGTGTTGACTGTACGAGGCTGTGAAAAACTCATTGAGCCGTTGTCAGATGCGCGAGAAAGGTTTGAAAAAGTTTGTCCATGCCGGAGAATTGTTTGACATTCGATAAAAACTGAAGAAGACCTTGAAAAATTAGAAGATTCACAAGAGACTGTGATTATGAGATCACAGTCAAATCTTACTCAAGAGGACATTCCGTTATCCCCCGCTTCTACAGAATCACCTATAGAAATACAAGAATTTACCGATAGTAATCTTAAACTGCCTTCTATACCGTTGATTGATGATGCAGTCACGAAGAATATTCAGTTACCCTGCACCTCCAAGGAATCGCCTCTGCAAGTTGAAGAAGTCATCACTGAGTTACTCTCAACTTCAGCAGAATCGCCATCACAGTTTCGTACGGAGCCTGTAAAGAGCACTATACAAGACATAGTCTGTATTGTTTGCTCAAAAGCAGCATCAAGTGCTCACAAGTGTAAATCGTGTAATATGTTTGTTCACGCAGTTTGTGGTGAAGTAGATCCTAAAGAGGAAGGGTATGGTAAGAATGTATTGTGCATCATCTGTAAAAAGAATATGGATCAGAAAATACAGCGTGATGAAGCCAAGAAATGTTTAGAAAAGCAAGCAAAGAAAATGTTAGCAGTTTCTAATGCAAAGCACCCAAACGTCGATGAAGGTTTCGCTGTGAGAATTAAAGTACCCGAAGAAGACAGAGCAAAAACTGATGCACGTTCAATTTTAGCTGTGGTTCTTAGTAAAACAGAGGATGGCTTTTATAAACTTGATACTAAAACAGGTATTTTAAAACAATTGTATGCAAAATCTGAATTCAGTGTTTGCAAAGAGAGATTTTTAACGAAAGAAGATGGATGTCCCTGCTGTAGAAATATCTTTACGTCAAACAGCAATAAAACAATCCCTTGGTACTGGGCAGGGTTTCAGAAAATGTGACTGCAAATCTAAATGTACCACAAATAGGCGTGCTTGTCGCAAAAACCAATTGCTACGTAATTCAAAGTGTCACCAATCTTTAGATTGCACTAATAAGTAAGTACAATTTTATCATATGTTTTGCAAATTCATTTCCCTAATTGTAGTAATATTTTAAACCGTTTGATTTTTGTATTAAAGTTTTTTTAATTGATTGATGATTGATTCAATCAACTAATTTGTTGATTGTATTAACTTGATTCTTTAGATATTGAAAATTAAATAAATAACATTATGTTAATTTAAGCGTACAGAAACGTTGCTGTTGTTCCAGCAAAAATCTTATTTTCACTTTACCGAGTGCCTAGTAGGTAATTTGCAGATTACCTAGATAATCTGAACATTACCTAGGTAATTTGAGAAATGGAATAATTTTCGCAGCTTTAACGGATCACCTTAGTTAATTTGCAGATTAGCTAGGTAATGCGCACATTAACGGATTTCGAGCTTTAGCGGTAACATATATATTATTTTATTTTGTTTTGTTTTGTTTTTGCGGCTCCACTTTAATTTCTGACAGAAACTATTGTTTCGGAACAAAATCAGATTGAAAGAGCAACTAAACAGTTTTGATGTTAGTACAGATCAAACATATTTTAGTTTTATATAAAATGATGACTGGATATTACCTGGAATATGATTAGATTTGTATAGTGTAGTGATCGACTCATTGACCTCGCTGAAAGAAAAGAATAATTAATATTTTTCATATTATTCTACATGTAATATCGTTGTGTAAAACAAAATGTTATCCTGTAATTTTGTATTTTTGGCCCATACACCCTTCATTATGTTCAGTGTTTAAATATTTATTTTTATTATTATTATTATTTATAAAATAGCATATTTATATCGATTTTGAAGTAACTGGAAATTATCTCGACGAAACATTTCAAACCCTTTCGTAGCCAAGTGATTAAATAGAACACGAAAATACCCTCTAAACTTCCGTTTTCGGTAGAAAATAATCATTTTTCGTACCTTCAAAACCACATGACTACGGATGAACTCATCAAATCTCGTGTCTCCACGTAAAGTAGCTAACCAGGTAAACGGGCGGATCTAGGTTTTTCGGAGCCTATGGCTTATTGAAGTCCAATGGGCCCGTTTTTATTAGATTAAGAATAATTACAATAAAACAAATACTATAAATTATCATTATTATTATACTACGTATTATTAATATTAACTATACTATACGTTAAGTGCTCATTGCTAATGAAAAAGTATTAAAAATTTATGATAATTCATTTTTGTGGGCTCTTGATACTTAGGGGCCCAGGATTTGAGCCCTATTAGTTTCTATGTAGATCCGCCCCTGCTTTAGCTTATTTGACTTAAGTCCATTTACGAATCATCTTTCTATCACATCCGGATAATTAGTCAAATCCAGATATTGTCGTCCAGTCCGAGATTTACGTCACAAATTGATACTCGCGTTATTTGTATTTTTATTTATTCGGGTTCAGTTGTTAAATGATGAAGGAAATCTTACATCACATACTTTTCCAATTGTAACCGTGATAAATATGTTGGCAATATCTGATACGAATATTTTGATATTTGAAAACAGACCCATATATCATCCAATAACAAAATGGATGAGCCAGATACGAGTACAGCCTTGAATAAACCTCGTAAGAATCGTATTCCGATTTTGAGAAATAGAGTAGGCTATAGTTTCCATTCGTTATCGTTATTGCGTTTAAATTATGAAATTTGCGAGCATCTTAGGAATATTTTCTGATTAAAAAAAAACTATTTCGCGCCTAAAATTTTGCTACAGGTTAAAAATGTGGCAGCAATAAAATTCTGAAAAACATCAAAATTTTCCCATCATCAGTTAAACTACGATTTGGCAAACTTTGTAAACCAATCATCATCCACGATGTACAAAATATACAGTACCTCAATACACGAATGTGTAAATTCCATGATATTTTTAAAACATTTGAAAAACAGGCGATTTAAAAGGAAAAATAATTTCAAGATGATTTATTGATAATCTAAAATTGGTATAAATTTGTCAGTGTACATATATGATCCTCCATACTTGAATTCACAATATCTTTTACAAACGTAAGCGTAACATAAATTCAACATCAGCCACAAATGTCATTCTCAATGTCTATTTGACCCGCTATGGCATCATACACGATATATTGACGTAATCTAATTCAAAAAACAAACGACAAACACAATACCGAAATGATTTTTATTGATGGCGGCGCTCAGTATCTTCTCAGGCCAGTCATGTATCTATCGCTTCCGTAACTGCTACTGCCAATGCTGGAATGAGACGTTATGCTTCCCATTTGCTGGGAACTTCCTCCGTACATGCTGGGCTGCGACTGGCCCATGCTCATGCTTTGCTGACTGCGCGGATTTCGCGAGTCCATGCTTCCGCTCCAGCGATTACTCGGTGGATTATCTACTCTCCCCCAGGAGGGACTGTGAGAAGAATCCATTTTACGAGAATCGGTGGAGCCCCACTGGGACCCGCTGCTAACGACGTTGCTACTGCTGTACGACTTGCTAATGCTCTTCTCTCCGCTTCCGCCCCACGATTCGCTCCTCTCTCCTCCGTAAGATCTGCTGCTGCCACTGAAGGATCCACCCGGACCCGACATGGTTTTACCGGAATCGATATAACGTTCGTGCACTCTTCTTTCGTGCGGTTGAGATTTCCATTCGTCGCGAGGCGGTGGGCGGCCGCGTACCGGCGGAGAACCTCGCGGCGGACCCATTCGTTCGCCTCGTTCTCTAGACGGGGGACCTCTTCCGGGATCTCTGATTTCGCGGTGTTCGCGACCTCTGGCTTCACTGTCTCTGGAAGAATTCCGATTGTACCGTTCTGGTCTTTCGGTCACCCTGCGATCGTCGCGATCGTGAGATGTTTGATCTCTTCGAACGTCTCTCCTCATCTCTCCGAATTCTCGAGATGGAACGTCTAAATTCTTCTCCCTCCCTTCGTACCTTTCCCCTCTTCTCTCAAACAAGTCATGACGATCGTACGATCGTTCCCGATTTTCGTAATCGTGATACCTAAAGAAATGTAACAAAACTCTCATTTTATTGAAGTTACGTAATTTTTAAATTTCAAATTAAGATGACTTAATGAATAATTTAAAATACGGAAGAAACTAACTTTGTTTTATAACATTTAAACACAGAATAAACCTCCACTAATTCGGACAAGTTTTTTTTCAAAAAACTGAGCAGTAATTTAAAATTTCTTGACAATAGAAAAATTATAATTAACGAGCGTTTTTGAAACTCATTTTCACAATGCCAAAAGCTCGTTGTCTTTTAAAATAATGTAAACATTTAATTTACATTCTTTTAATATTTACTTTACTATTAAATGTGTAATATTAATACGTTATATGTATTTTAATTTATATCATTTATGAGTAATAATTTTGCTCTCATACCTATTTCAAATTATTACTAATAAATAATATAAATTAAAATGCACATATTGTCATTGTACATTTAACAGTAATTTAAACATTAAAACTTGTAAATTAAATGGCTTCTGCCATCATAAAAATGACTAAAAATTCTGAAAACACAGTATCCTGTAAAACTACTCAGAAAAATAAGACTGTTTTTTATTTATTGGGGGAGAATTTCATGACGACCACTATTATCGTAATAATTAAATTTTTATACCTTCCTGATAACGATGGTCTTTTCCTTTCATCCCAATATGGTTCACTTTCTCTTGGTCCCCGAAATGGTCTTTTAAGTGGGCGTCTAGGTTCATCCAATCGACTGAAATAAATTTGTAATATGCTTTCAAAGAGTGGATTTTAAATTTCTAAATGTTTTGTCAGCACAAATACTAGTTGAAAATATTATTCATTAAAAACTTAATTTAGAAAAACGTATTTATATTTTTATATATCATATAGACTATAAATATCGATCTCTAGAATTCAGTCTTAATGCTTACTAATTAAATTTAATCATATTTCAATTATTAAAAATTATAAACTTTGTCACTTCTAATTTTAAGGACTCAGTAAAATAACAAACACAAATCCATATTTTTGATGGAATAAAAAATCCAGATCCCAGCACGTTTACAAGGTCTATAGCAAGTTGATGCATTTTTGTCGTTGTATATTTTGATTAAAAATATTCCTAAATTTATATTTTATATAGCATTATTCTTTAATTTCTCAAGATTACTATATTAAAATTTTAAAAAATCATCTAAATTGTTCTGAAATAAATTTACACAGACTTCTCTATATCAAATGTTTTCTTTAATAATGATGTATTGTAATTAGTATATACAATTTTTTTAAATTTGGTACATAACTAGTCTAATTCTATAATTTTCTGCTATTTATAATTATTGTTTATCACATTAGTCATTCAGTTATTATGACAATTATTTTTATTAACTTAAATTTAGATTAATTTCCAAAACAGAGTTCATTACATGCAGGTAATGGCATCTAGGAGCAAGATTCAATGTACATGACAAATCTCACTAATCAGACTAGTTACTCTAAAAGCACTTTCATTTATCATTCTTTATGTAATTTTCTTAACCCTTCCGCCCATAACCTGAGATAACTGGGGCTGCTTAATAACGTACAGTACCATCATTAATTGTAATGATGGAACTGAAACTTGGATAACAGAGCAAGAAAGTCAACAAGTTGATGAAACAAGTGTAAAATTTTTCCATTATTGTGTTTTTGGGTCGTTTTCAAAGTTTCAGAATAACTGACTTTTTAAAACCAAAGTAATGTTGGTAAAATGAAATGAATATCTAAATATGGATATGACAAAATTTATTTAAAGAAACAAATTTCTTTAACAATTTAATTTAATTTGTTAAGAAACAAATTAAATTAAGAAACATATTGATTTCTCTATTTTGGCCACCATAACTAGAGTTCTCATGAAGCATTTACTCTATCTTCTATATCATCAATTTTGAAGTATCCATTTATTTTACACTTTTAGTTGTAAAATTTATTATTAGATCAGGGCTTCTTAAACTATGAGTCGTGACCCCATTTGGGGTCGCTTAGCGAAATCTTGGTGTTGCGAGATTTTAATGCAAAATATTAAAAATAATTTGTGAGAGTTTGAAAATGGCATGCTTTGTGTCATAGGTTTCATGAGTTGCGCTTTGTGTCACTTCTGGTACAGCAAGACAACGATTCAGCAACACTGATTGTAGTGTGAACTAGTGTAGTGTTGTCACTTTTCAGTGTATTCAGTTGTCTCTGTTCCATTGTAACACAAGAGTGAACTGTGGTAGTACACCATTATTGTTTTTGCAAATTTGTATATATCTTTATTTTATACATATATATATATATATATCTTCTACTGCCCCCCTGAAAGCCTGCAGTGACCACAAGCAGGTGTTATCGCCCACTTCGAGAAAGGATGATCTAGACCAGGTCTTCTTAAACTTTTTTTATTCACAATCCCATTTATGATTGTGATTTTTTTTGTGACAAAAATATATATATATATTGGTCACAAAAAAAAATCACAATCATAAATGGGGTTTTCTGCATCATCAAGCATATCTTTTGGATGGCAAACCAACTTCCGGTTTAAAAGATGGACTCTCTCAATTGAGAAAGTCCATCTTTTAAACCGAAACATCCAAAACCATTCTTGGTTTGGATGTTTCCAAACCAAGAAGTGGGTTAAAAAGATCATGCAGTAAAAGCAGGAGGGGGTTTTTCATTCTTCTCATTCAGCTTGAGAAATGCAAAAAAATTCAGAGGTCTGTATGTATGGATATTTGTGGGGGGGACACAATTTTGTTCACCCTCTTTGAAACTTAATAGAGAGGTTGCGGCCGAAGTTCAAACATTAAACTTGTACAGCAAGCAGAAGTACATTTTTGATATCTGAACTCTAAGTAAAACACATTGTGCCACACATTCACGTCACACACTGACTCATTATTGAAAAATGACAGAAATGTTTAACAACAATGAATGTTACTAGCAAAGGTAAATAAACAAATTAAAATAGTTTAAAGTATTTATTGGATGTTTAATAACAAAATAATTATTTTTAATTAGCATTGTTTCTCAACCATACAATAGGACTACCTCATACTTTTGTTGAGGGAAGTAGTGGCTTATGTAAATCTGAAAGCAGCTCGGAAAATTATTTTTAGAAAATTTACAAATGTATTACACTGTTGATGGTAGAAGATACCGTGAAAGAACAAACCTACTCATACAGAATTATGATAAGTTATTATGAACAGAAATATATGTAAATTCTAGAGACACTTCACATCACTTTCAAAAAAATTGAATAATTAAATAATTTCTGGATTAAAATCATCTGTTTCTTTACATTATTATTCATAAATGCTTAAATAATCATTACTTTAATAAAATACATTATAATTTNACCTATTCCTACAGAATTATGATAAGCTATTATATACAGAAATATATGTAAATTCTATAAGCACTTCAAATCACTTGCAAAAAATTGAATAATTAAATCATTTCTGGATTAAAATCATCTGTTTCTTTACATTATTATTCATAAATGCTTAAATAATCATTACTTTAATAAAATACATTATAATTTTAACCCCAAACACAAAAAAATGAAGAAGTTTAAGCCGAACTTCTACTCGCCACGCTAGATGTAGCAAACGCCATTGTCAATCTTCTAGAATTGCCAGATGGTGGTGCTTGATGTCCGATGTTTTTGGCTGAAAACGTTGGCAACAACCTCTCTAATAACTCCCATGTTATTGAAAATTTCTGAAATTTTACAGGATGGTTTGTGTATTACCATATTTTCACAGAATGATCAGCATGCTGGTCTATAGACGAAGACCATGAAATCAAATATTTTCATAAGGTAAAAACCAGCATGCCAGTTTAAGTGAGGTTATTCATCCCTCTCTAGTGAGTACATTAAAAAAATGAAAGAGTTAAGTCAGGTAAAGTCACAGTTTTAGAATAATAACAAACATGTTTTTATTCTAAAACTGTGAAACTATCAGTATTACATCAAAAACTATGATTGTGTGCTTAATTTCTTCATTTTGTCTGCTTTCTTTGTTTATTTTATGGTAATTACATTCAAAAACACAAAAATAAACATATTAAATTTATGAAACTGGCCCTAAATTATCTCAACTTACTTTAATTAACATTGGCTTTGTGTGAAATTTGAGAAGAAAGCGTTATTTTTAAGGTTGGGTGCATGGTCAGTGTAACCCACACTAACTACTACTAATGTCAATAAGTCACTAATTGTTTTATTGTCTTGTAAAGGAAAACTCTCTTCCTGATTTTAAGTCAGTCAAATTACAATATTATAAATTAAGTATTCAACAAGTAAGATTAAAATTCTTAAGAATTTTTTTTTTTAACATTTGTTTAACAACTAGTTTTGTTATATTTGATTAATTTTAGATTTTAGTCACAGTTTAACTGGCATGTCAGATACCTCAGGGTTACTGGCTGCAATCTAGTCATTCCGAAAAAATATGGTAAAATATTAATGCTATTAAATTTTGGTGATTTAAGGTTGACAGGGTGGGGAGATAAAGGGTGATCATGTATCATTCTCAAGTAGGGTTGGACTTAATGACAATTTTACTCATTATTAAAATTTTTTATAAAACCGATCCCTACTCTCAAAATTAAACTTTTTGTCATTTTATAATAATTAAAAATGTAAACAATTTTTTAAAAATGAAATATTGTAACAGACAGCACCACCAAAATTTTAAATGTTGCCGAGAAAGTTAAGCAATTCATTGCTGGATTTTTTACATTTAAATGGACCCACATTACATTTCTGGATTTTCTCGTCTCGTGGATAAATCTGCCATTTGTCATTAATTAATGGCAGATTTATCAAAATCAATCCATTAAAGTTTGAGAACAAACTTGATTCTATAGGCCTATACAAGACATGCTAGCAAACCGTGAAACACTGCATGACAAAGTTGTGCAATTTGTGCAAAATCGCTTTGTTGCACACACTCATGAAACGACCTTTATCTCAAAAACAAAGTCATGGACCCCAATTTTTTATTGCAGTTTTGGATTCCGCATTGCAATTAATGGAAAATGGCAAAGTTTAATCAAAATCTATCGAACAGATTTTGAGAACAAACACAATTCTGCAAGCCTCAGAAGCAGCTCTGCTTCAAAAATTTTAAATGGAAGTTATGATGCTCAACAAAAAATTCCCTTAATAATAAAAAATCATAATCATATAGAAGCAACTTTTCTATTTGCAATATTTGAGTCATCATGTTCAATAACTAACTCATTCACCTATTAAAACTTCAGACTTACTAAATTTTTGGTTAGAAGTAAAGTAACATTGCTTTTAGAAGTTAAAAGATTAAATTATGGAATTTTTACAACTAATTTTTTACAATTACAAAAATTTATTCCATTAAATTCAATACAAAACAAAACTTCATTATAACACAGTTCAATCAAGAATGACAATTACTAAATAATATAAATTTTACAATAAATACTAAAGTCAATATCAAAATAATAAATATTAGCAAAAAAGCATATATATATATATAACCTACAGATAACCAAGTTACTGCTAGTAAATTCTAATAAAAAATTTTCATTAGAAAATGAAATTAAATTTTAAACTACCTCATCTGTTCTCTCCGCCTAAGTTCCTCTCTCTCTCTTTCTAGTCGTTCTCTTTCAAGTCTTTGCTTCTCTCTTTCAAGCCTGAGTACTTCAGCTCTTTCTCTGTCTAATTTCTCTCTTTCAATCCTAAAATATGAAAGAATTTATCAATTACATAAAAATTTAATAAAATCAGATGAAATATTCTGCCATTGCAATATATAAAAACTTAAAAATTTAATTTTATATTCTAATGAAGTTAATGCATTACAAGTTCAATGACTTGTCAAAAATCCAGACTAACTGAGACCAGACTCATTCAGATTTTCAGTTTATCTGGATTTTCAAATATACATGTAAATTAAATTTACATGCTTGTTCTGAAATATCACATTAGCTGTTCTAGGACTTTGATATGTATTGTATTGAAATTGGAGATTAAAATTCTTAAAAAATTTTCTACTTATTCTGCAGTTTCACATTAATTCACAAGTTTGTATTCAAAAAATTTATAGTAAAATCATAAAAACTAAGATCTGATAAACTTATTAAAACTACTTTTAATTGCTATGTAAAATTAAATACAGTGGTGCCTTGTATAACGTACCTAATCTGCTTCAAGTGCACATCCGTTAAGTGAAAAGTCAGTTATACAAAACGCATTTTTCCATAGAAATTCATGTTAAAACATATAATTCGTTCCGCAGCATAAAATAACCATACTGTACCATAAAAAAAAAAAATGAAAATGGAGCAGTCACTAATTATGCCGGGTAGTCAGATGTGAGGAGGAGGTGGAGAAACACTTTCTTCACACATTCATACAGATACAGACTTTGTATACATTGCATCAGGTCTCTTTTTATTGTTTTTTAATCAGAGTCAGATTCAGGAGAGGCTACTGGAGCTTGCAGGGTCAACTCCTCTTGTTCCATCCTTTGTTTTTTGCCTGCTTGCTTCTTGAAAAACATGTCCAAGGTGGTCTGTTTCTCTCTCTTCTTCAACACCTGTCGGAAATGATGGGCAAGGGTGTAATTATAGAGATCATTGATCCTGTTGGCCTCGCTCTGTTTGGATAATGAGTGTTGGTAAACTCCTGAACCTCTCCCCATTTGACAAGGAAGTTTTTGTCAACTTTCACTCCTTCTGATGATTTCTTGCATTGTTTCAATTGAAATCACTTTTCTGTTTTTTTAGAAGCCATAATTTGCACAACACTTGAATAAATGTAAATACACTGCACTGAGGTGATGTACGTAATAAACAAGGGAGCAAGCCGAATCCCAACGGGAGCTCTGTACTTCAGATATACTAATATATTATAAAAATAGCAGATTATCATTGGCAACAGCAAAAGAGTGATAACATCATTCGCACTTGTTCACCTCACGTAACTGCCGAATGGAAAGTCCGTTGTTCGCAGCCAGTCCGTTGCTCGAGTCACGTAACGGCCAAACAGAAATTCCGTTATTTGAGGCATACGTTATACAAGTCACCACTGTATTTAATGTTTATTATCTGTTACTATTTTAATATATCAATATTAAATTTTAGATACTTTTTTTAAAATCAAAAGCATTTACAATTAATTAAAAATTTCTTGATTAATTTATTTGTTACAAAACTATTCATTTTAACTGAACCAGTAAAAACCATGCTTTATCATCATCTAATAAAACATTTTGGCCTAAGTTTAAATTACTTAAGTCTTCAATAATTAAAATAATAATAATTTTTTCATCAATGGAAGCAATTGTGCTAAATATTTAATTGATTAAATTATAAATAATTTTTTCTAGGATTAAATTTAGTAAATTTTTTTAGGCCAATATTTTTCTAACTTACAAATAATTTTTTTAAATTATATTTACAAGTATATTAAATTATCTAACAAACCTTAAACGCTCTCTCTCCCTTTCTAGTCTAATTGATTCTTCACGTTGTTTACGTTCTATTGAACGTTGCCTGAATATTTCTTGCGCCCGTCGTCGTTCCACCTCTCTTATTTCACGTTCTCTCAAACGTTGCCTACGGCGCTCTTCCTGAAATGACATTGTTTATTACATTACTATAAATATAAATTTTTAAATGCAATATAGAAAATATTTTAGGATAATTACTTTTATTTTTTGAAAAGCAGTTACATTTGATTTAAAGCCTGCTTTAAAACCTGGCTTAGAAACAAAAGATCTTTTCAAGAAAAATGGTTTTCTAAAAGGTTGACGATCTCTAAACGATAATGATCTTAACCCACGTCCTCTGCCTCTAGCATAAAATGGACGCATATCTCTACGTGGAAAAGATCTTCTATAATCTCTACCTCGTGATACACTTCTAGGTTCTCTTAGTCCACGTTCTCTCTCTCTTTCTCTTGATTTTTCTCCAGATGGTTCCACTTCTGTAAACAAAAATTCTCTTCATAATTTCTTGTTATTTCATTTTTGAAGATAACAGAAAACAATTTCTGAAAGACTTTGTATAAAAAATTTTGATAAACTGATAAAAATTGATTCAAGATGCAAATTTTTCTGAAAGCTTCAATATATACTGTAATATAGTTTTCTACTGTGCTCTCTCTCAATATTTTTTCCTAGCTATCTATATTTGCATGTTAAAAGATTAATATTTCAAAAAACTTGTAAAGAGAACATAATTAAAATATATTGTTGTTTAAAATTTGACTAAACAAAATGCACATAAAATTTCCTTGTGTTCTTACAAATTTGATATATTTTAATCATTATTTCAATATGCCACATTTAAATTAATTATATAAATGCAGGTTTATTACAGATTTATTACCAATCATGTTCAGTTAAAATAACTATCAATATAGTAAACTATATCATTACAACAATAAATATTTTTTATATAGTTTTCTATAAAACTATTTCTAAAGCTGAAACAAGCTAATGATAAAATAAGTTTTTATAAAATTTTGATATTTATTGTAAAAAAGTTTATAAATACTTTAGGTTTTGTCACTAACTAGTTTAAAGAAGCATGACTTCAACATTTCATGTCTGGTGAGGCTCTTACTTATATTATAGTTTATAATAATTCTCTAAACAAAAACAATACTATATGTATATATTTATGTGACTGATTTATATATAGCGAATAAGTAATTGTAAATAATATTTTAAAATTTTAATTAAAAAATCAAAGACAAGACAATGGAAAATGCAATTTAAAATAACTAGAACAAATTAGTAATAATGAACATCATTAAAAACACATATGGCACTTAATTACTTGGTCCTTGAAAAGTGTTAAATTTTGACACCCCCTTGTAATGCAAAAAATTTTTACTTTAGCATTTTAGATTTTTCTGGACTCAACTCTCCTTTCAACTGCATTTTTTCTGTAGAACATTTTCTGCATTTGTCTGATTCTACTCCAACACACAGATGTTTTTAATGCTAAATATGATCATATTTCATCATAACTGAAATAATATTTCAACTACTAAATGTGATAGACTAAAAACAAAAATTGTAACTTCTACTATATTCAATCAGTTGTTTGTTCATATGTTAGTGTGTGTATCATCATCTTATAATAGGATAGCTCAAAACAGACCTGCACATTTGATTTTATGGATAAAAGTATAAGAGCTACAATATTCAAACTGTTTGGCATTTTTTGAGATACTCCCCATCCATATTTATGCACTTTCTGGAAGGGCTTCTTGAATTCCAACACTAAGCTTTTCCTTGTCACAGCCAATGCAAGACAATCCTACAAAGCTCTGTTTGTCACAAATTTCTTTCCTTTTAAGTGCTCTTTTAATGATTCAAATTATGAAAATCACAGAGTTAAATCTTGACTGTAGAGGAATTAAGGATTTCTCAGTTTATAGTTGTCAAAGTTGCTATCATCACAAGCTTTATGTAGACATGCAACAAAATGAATCTTCAACAATTTTCAATGTCTCTTTTTGCAGATTTCACTGTAAAGCTTGTCTTTTTTTAATCACACAATTGGTTTTGGATTTAATTGATGAGATAAGGCAATGCAACATTTCAGCAATCTTTCAGGGAGAGATGTCTTCTGGAAGGATTTTCTATGGATAATTGCCCTTATTTAAGTGTTAGACATGTGAAGAAAATCCAGAAGACTCCATATGGCCAGCCCATTAAAGGTATGAAACCACAACTGGCCAGTGTTCAGTGTTTTTATCCACTCTGACACTGGTGGGATACAATGGTTAGCCAAATGTATCCATGAGATTTGTCTGGCATTCAATTTTGAGCATTGCTACATTTATTGAACCAATTACACAAATTGTCCTTGACAATGTTTATTTACTTTTTCTATGCCTGAATCTGTGCCAAATTTAAGCAAGTTTCACATTTTCAAATTCATAAGAAATTTTATGAAATACTATTGTTCCACATTAGCATAAATTTAATTTTATAATTTGACTCACCACATCCATGTGCCAAAGAGGAGTATTCATTCTTGCAGGGAGAGAAAGGTATTGTCTATATAACATCAGGTTTACATCATAATTAGACAAGCACAACAGAGTTAGACCAAAATATGTAGGTCACTCTTAACTGCAAGTACAAAAATACACACAAAGTTCAATCAAAATTCTCAAAATGCATTAGAGTGACATGGTATATTGATGAGTAAATCTGTTAGATTCTTTGAAAAGACATTTGCAAAATTGTATTTGTTTATTTTTTCTTTTATGGAGAAACTCAGTGTTTACATAGTTTTTTCCCTACATCAAATTTTTATATCTAATTATTTTAACATGAATTTAATTGATAATGTCAACAAATGAAATAGGCTTTAAATTTGAAAAAAGAACTTTTAGTAATACATTTCCATACTATCTGAATATCTATCTGAGAGTAATAGATTTTTTTATGTTACAAGGGCTATTCTAAAATCAACTTCTAATTGGCTGGTAAAAGTTAGAGGGGTAAATATTTATTATACACAAAATTTACTTGCACACAGTTGCCACAAAAAAAATCAGGCACTTTTTGTATTGTGACTTATACTGGCTTTTGCAATCTCTTGCCAATGAATGATGCTAATGAGTTACCATGCCAGTTGCTGATTCCATCTAGAAGCTCCTCATTGGTTTCAAATTGCTGGATATCCAGCCAGACCATCTTGCTAGAAGAGTGATAATTACTTGGCATCAAGTTCAGACTGTAAGAGAGAGTGATCAAAAATCTCCCAGTTGAACTACTCAAGTTATTCTTCCCAGTAATGCAAAAGAAACAAAGCTGAACCCATTCTTTGAGTTTTGTGAACATTAGTCATTTATTTTAGACTGGACCCAGAACTTGTAATAACCATATCTCTCTCTGATAATAAGAAACAGTAGTCCTCAAAATTTGAGGAGAGTTACAAGAGATTTATGAAATTATGAAATGGTGTTTTTAATGCATGAATTTGTGACTGATGAACTCGCTAAAAACATTACAAGTTCATCAGTAAGAACTGAGTGTCATCCCTGTTCCATATCTGTGCACCCATCCCTGAATTTCCTGTACAGATCCCTCATACAACTATGACTCACTGTTATCATCATAGATATGATGTACTGATGATGAATCTCGGTGATACTATGTCCTACTGCTTTCAGAAAACTTATACCATGGACCTAACAATGGTGAGAGTGGCAATGGTATAGGGTCCAAGTTTTTACTCAGTAACTACTTGTGCATAAGTTAAAAACCGGATGATGAGTTAGAATTCAGTAATATAAACCTTTCCTAATTCTATATACTACAAGACATATTGCTTTGACAACTGGTTTATTTTTACCAGACAACTGAAGATTGATTTTGGAACAGCACTCATAATTTAGGTGAGCAGGATTGAGAAATATGTTTCTCAATCCTGCTCACCTAAATTATTTTATATATTTTTTTTCTAACTACTCATCTAAATTATTTTATATATTTTTTTTCACATAATAAATAAAGTCATTAGCTTATAATATATATTTCATTGTTTTGTATGTGTACATTAAACTATATCAAATCTGTATTTTTAAATTAATTCATCTTTTTTTCTTTTAAAATTATCTACATCAACAAAATAATAAAATACAATCTTTATGACAATTTCATTAATTTGTTTTAATTATGTTAAATTATTATTTCACAACCTCTCTAAAACTATTTAGAAAATTTTCAAAAGTTTCAAAGATCTTAGTAATGCCAAAGAGTACAAGTATATATCTTGCTTATTACAAAATTTTGCTATTATATTAATATGAAGTGTGAACTATTTTAATGTACTATACTCAAGGATGTTGAAAACTCAAAAATTTTTTAGTATACTACACATTACACATTGTAAGTACATGTGTGTCCATTCTTAGTGAAAAGAAGTAACAATGTTGGCGAGGATTATTTTCATTAAGGAAACATTTAACCTTTATAAGGAATCTTAAAATTCTAATCCTATAATGTGCATTTTAGTTTTGCATCATGTAATTTTTATCCATTAACTGAATGCAAAAATCCTTTTAAATGTTAATAAAATCAACGTAAGCATACCTTTTCCTTCTTTATCTGTCTCCTTTTCTTGCTCATTTTCCTCCTCTTTCACAATTTCACCTTGTTCTTCAGTTTTCTCTCCTTCATTTTCTTTTGTTTTTGAAGTTTCTATAAAAAAAAAAATCTATAAATTAGTTTTGAGTTATTGGCCAATCAAATTTCTGAGTTTAGCTATATGTAATTTCTTATTTGGAAATAAGTATTCATACTATATAAAATTTCACTTTAAGGTTTGAATCATATGTTGACAATTTCATCATTGATAGTAATTAAAGTTTTGGTCATTTTCATTCTGAAGAAGACAGAAATGGCAAACAAGAAAAAACTAAGGAAAGAAAAAGAAAAAAAAAAAGAAATTACAAAAGAATTTGACATTCCATTAAATTCTCTACATATCTGAAAAACAAAGACAAAATTTTAAAATGCTTCAATAAAGAACAGAATGAAACAAAACAGAAAAGCTGTTGTAAGTATCCATATGCTGAAAAGTTTGTACTGGTGATTTGTACAGTGTAGAGATAAGAATATTTGTCAGTGGAGATGATATAAATGTAATGATATGATATGATCTGCAGTGAAACATGCTACTAATAAAACACACCTTTAATAATCCAGCTAATAAAAATTAATAATGTAAAAACGTTTTCGATCATTTCTTAACGATCTTCTTCAGTTACCATAACATAGAATAAAATCGAACACAAAAAAGGGCATAAATTCTTTTTTGTGTTCGATTTTATTCTATGTTATGGTAACTGAAGAAGATCATTAAGAAACAATTGAAAACGTTTTTACATTATTAATTTTTATTAGCTGGATTATTAAAGGTGTGTTTTATTAGTAGTATATTTATCCAGTTTGTGAAACATGTTGTTATGATAATTGGTTTATTATGGAAAACATTAAAAAAAAATAATAAAAAGCTAAACAATTCACACAACAGTTTGAACATACCATATTTAAAGCAAGCAGCAAATGACTGAATAATTTTAAGAGGCATTGAATAATTTTCACTAAAATCTGTGGCAGAAGTGCAAGAAATAATTGAAAAGTTTACCAGAAATCATAGAGAACTATAACCCAGATGGCATTTCAACACAGACAAACCAAGCTTATTTTTTAAATGTCTGCAGGACAAAACAATGACATTCAAAAATTATTCAAGTCATAATGGTTTAAAAAATGGGGGGGGGGTAAAATCTTACTCTTCTTTTGATATCAGACAGGTAATAAACAAACTGTAATCATTATTAACTGGAAAATCTTTAGTCTCGGTGTTTCTGCAATGACAAGATGTTACCTATACAATATGCAAGAAATAAAGCATGAATGATATCAAAACCTTTTTCTAACTGGCTGAAAAAAATAATCATCCATATAATTGCCAAAAACAAAAATATTCTTTTGATCAACAACTGCAGTGCGCATACAACAATTCTCACTTTGAAAACTATAATAGTTCAATTTTTATCATCAAGTACAACTTCTAGATTGCAACCTTCAGATAAGAAAATCATTGAAAACTTCATTACAACACAAAGAACTTATCATACAAAAATCGTTACATGTTATTGAAAAGGGATTGTGTGAATTTGAAGTGAATATGCTAAATGTAGTGCAAATGAATAACAAAATTGAAATAAAATTCCACAAAGCACCATTACAAATTGCTTTATAAAGACATCAACAAATTCTTGATTAAAACCTGTTTCAAATAAATCAATTTCCATCAGAATCTGTCAACTTTATTCTGTTGGCCAATCTCATTACAGCAGTAAGTTATTCACAAATTTTGTCAATTTTGACTATGACCTAGCTGACTAATGAACATTTATCTGAAGGCAACATCTTAATTTCTAAAGTACAGAATCAAGTGCAAGAAACAAGTAATGTAGATGAGAAAGAAATAAATCCCAAGAAGGATAAAATATCTGATTCCCTTATATGTAGGAAAACCAAAAAAGCTCTAAAGTTTTTCAAGAACTTGAAAACTACTACTCACAAAAACAAAGATGCTTTTGAGACACTCAAACACATCAAAAACATTGTTGAACAAGAAACAAGGAATCACTGATGACAGATTCATAAAACAGATTTTTTTTTTTGCTAATAATGTCAATATTTTGTTATTTTGTATATATAAATATCTAAAAGATAATAATATATAATGTATTTAAGTTTAACTATATTTATAATCTCATTAAAATAACAATAGTTTCCATAACTCAAAAAATTCTATACCTTCCACTGCAAGTTATCAAGAGTATGGTATAAATATTTAAAGAAAATGTTTCTATTTCCTTGAAATATGAATATATAAAACTTGAAATTAAAATTATTAAAAAACAAAATTAGTAAAAATACTTATTTTTGTTTCTAGTAATTTAGTAACTTAAAATATATAAAATTTTAAAATGTAAAATTGTAACTATTGACCAACTATTCAAAAAATTATGAAACAAAATGTTTTCTTGTAATTATGTGGTGTTTATTGGTTGCAGCTTGCAAGATATGTTACAAAATTTCCAGTCTATATATAAAGACAAAATTCCAGAATGGGTGGTAATATCTATACTACCTGTACTATATAAAGAGAGAACGTATTTTTCGTTTGTGACCACTAACCATGAAAACTACTGAACCAATCATTACCAAATTTTAACTGTAGCATCTTTATGATCCCCAGAATGTTTACCACTAATCAAACCCAGATTTTTTATTAATTAAATAAAACTGCAATGGATTTTTGTCTGTATTTCTCTCACTCTTCACTAGATGGCGACACACACATTAATACTTTCTGTCTGTAAGAAAAGTCTATTATTGAAGTTTGCTATTCTATTTGAAGAACTGACATTAAATTTTAATTAGTTAATTAGCAAAATCTTCGAGGAATTAAAAAAGTAATGTCATCACGCTAGATGGCAGTACGTGTACTTATGGTGGGCTTTCGAATTGTTATGCATTAATTTCTGCAAGTACAAATACAAAATATTCGAAATAGTTATTGAATTTATCTCAAATGAATATTTTTGAGATTGATTGATAAATAATGCCAAGAGCTGCTAGGCAAGATAATAATAATCTTATTTGGAGTTTCAAAATTATAACGGGTTTTCACATATAAAGTGGTTTATCCACAAATAATTAATGAACAATTAGTTCAAATTTTCAAAGTTCTATATGTACATAAGAGCGGGCGAGGCAGCAACAGGGAATGCTAGTCCTTCAACATTACACTTCAACGCTATCAATTTTCATTGCAAAATTATTTCCCAAAGTCTGTTAATAGATCAGAAATGCCATTGTACAGTACAATGTTGGAGAATTTTATTTTCAGCTCATATACCAACAGAAAAGACTTTTTGGTGGACTCTTAATCATTAAGAATCCTTGACACTAGGATCCATCATTTGACCTAGAAGCACAACAGCAGTCAAAACAATAAAAATACAATGATTCTCCACATCTGAAAAAATTCAGAACGCAGTCATTTACTAAGACAGTCACAACTTCTTGCAAATGCATCTCAAGGTAGAAGTGTATTGACATAAGAGAGAATTATATTGAACAATCAAAATTTCAACAAATAGAGACAGTCTCTTCTTACATAAGCCAAAAACTTTTTAAACATGCTATAAATTCTTGAAATAAATCATAATTCAAGACTTTCAACATTTTCATTCCCTCTTTAATTTTTGATTATGAAAATTCATTAAAAAATATACATACATACATATATAAAATCTCACAGATTAACTCAAAAACCAACAGATTATACAAATAACTATAATTTAACTAATCTTGTAATAAAACTATTTTAAACCTTTCCACACACACCACCATGTGAATAGTATTTTTATTGTAATTTTTTCAATTACAAATTTTATTATAAAAATTTATATTATGTATTTTATTTTCTGGTAAAAGTTCAAATAATTATCTCTGATAGCTGTTAAATTTTTACAAATCCATCTGTGTATCTATATTTCATGTAACTTTGAATACCTGAATGGAAAAAAAATTGATATTTAGCTCTTTCCAAATTTTGCTAGATCAGTGATGATGGTGTACAATAAGAATAATATATATTTATGCTTTAAATTACTAAAAAAATATTTTGATTAATGTAATTATTTTTTAATGATATACAAAAAGTACAATGTATTTGAAATAGTGAACTGAGAAGTTTTAACTTAAAACTTCAAGCAATTTTGCTAGTAAAATAAAAGCCCTCAAACTGGTTTTCAGATACTAAACTAGAATATCCTTTTTCTATAAACCACAATATAAATTTCATTTTCAAAAGTTATTTTTTTAAAAAATATCCAAAACTAAGTTACATTCAAGTGTTGAAAATAATTTAGTTTCAAATATTCAAAAATAACCAAAAATATTCAAAGTATTCAAAAAAGAAAAATTAAAACTGGACTACCATATTTTCAGATAAGTAGTTACAATATTTATATCTTTCATAACACTAAATAGCTTAAATTTATCCATCACTAAAAACCTCACAACTAAATATTAACTATTCTTGATATGTTTGAAATGAGAAAATATCATTAATGTACTGTATATCTTCTTAGGCATATATTAATTTGTTATTAAAGTAATAATCTTGCTATTCCTACATTACTTTGCAGAATAATAATTATTTTATTGTAAAAACTTGCCAAATTCACATTTCCAATTATATTTCTGATAATTTTATATAACCATAATTAGGGTTTTACTAGAATTCTCATTCAATAGTAGTTTCTTCCTGCTTATGTCAATCCAATTTTCTCTCAATTTCACTCCAATGCTTGACTTTGATAATTTCCAAATTGTTAGCATGATACCTATAATTTTCAATCCTATCTAAGCTCATTTATATACTAATTACCTATCACAATCCAGCTAAAGTAGTTGTACATTTTTGTCTTCTCCAGAAGTTATACTCCCTTTTATATGTAAACAAATCAACAGTGAATCAACACCACCTTATATTTAGGAATATTTTTAGACAAACACTGAAATTCCATAATTAAAAATTATCAAAAAATTTATCAGAAAGAATGCCTGTATTTCAAACAAGTTTTTAACATTTTATTCTATTTTTATAATTTTCAAGGTTTAACCTATTCGATGTTGAAATTTTTATTTGTTGCCTGTGATGCCATGTTGAATTTTTGTCAATGTTAAGCGTAAATTTTTTTTAAAATAATAATCATGTTTACTGTATCGTAAAAAATTATTTTTTTATGTTTCACAAACAAAATAAATATATTGAATAATATAGAAATAAAAAAAAATTACACTTTAAAAGTTTGTTTTAATATAAAAATTGTGACGCACAGCGACATCTAGTATCAAAAACATTCTGATGTAAACATGAAAATATTTGGGATCGCCCATGCAGATCAATGAGGTCAACACGAATATTTTCGGAAACAACATAGGACAGCTTAATTATGGTCATTCGGTTTCCCTGTTATATTCTGTTGATCCAATGTCCTTTATAAATCATATCATATATACAAACAATGCAATGTCTTACATATTCATTCTTTATTATTCATAATAAAAGTTGAGAATTCCTTTACTCAAGACCCATATCCACTATTCTGACAGGCATATTTTAAATAATTTAATACAACTGTTATATATCACCACTTTCGATGCTTAAGATCCAGTCTAAGAAATTAATTTCAATCAATTCTCATTGTTTATCATACTTTGCTTTCCACTAGCTCAAATGTCTTTGACATTGCTTTTAGTATTTAAAAAAATAATAAAATAAACTTTACCTCTGGGTTTTATTTTATCGGCGTCAGATGTTTTAGTTGAAGCTTTTAGTTCTCGTTTTTGAGCAACTCTCTTTGCTAATACAGTTTTTGTTTCTGTTCTTCTGAGCATTCCACCTGGCTCATGATGCGTCTACAAATAAAAATTTTCATATTTTAATACATTTCATTAAATATACAGTTTTAATAAAATAAATTTAGTAGATTATAGATTAAGTTTTCTATTCCTCAACCTCTTAAGTATACAAAGTTATAAATTAAAATTTCAAAATTTTCATTTTTTAAAAAAACTTCAAAAAGATATTGAAATTTTTTACAGTGATTTTAAGGAATAAGATTAAGATCAGTCATTAGAATTAGGAATATTTTGTGTTATAAAATTATTTATATTATAAATTTTATATCTGAAAAAGAAAATTACCTATTCTTTATTATTAAGAAAGAAAAAAAAAAACAGATAACTTTTAGATTGTATGCATAAACCAAAAATTAGGAAAATTTGTTTCTAAAAAATTCATTTGCTGTATTTAGCATTAATATTAGTGCATGCACACTATAGGAATATTGGGCATTAAAGCAGTGTTGTCCAACCGAAATTGTTTACTGGGCCAAAACCAAAAATAAAAATACAGTGTGGGCTGCAAAACATATACAATTATACAGTATTTTGTATGTATTTTAATGTGAAACTTGCTTTTCAATTTTTCACTTAATTTCTTAATAACAACAGGTATTTTTGATGTTGTACAACATTGATAAAAATTGAAAAAACCAACTGTCAATCTATTACGACTTTCACATTTAACAATCTTCAATTTTGAGAAAAAAGATTCACAAAAGATAGGTGATTCAATTGCAGCTGTAATGCTCATTGTGTTTTTTAGGTTAGTGAATTTATCATTACAGATGTATTTTGTATAAAACTGAACTTTGTTATTGGCTTCAAACATATATTTCAATTCAAAAGATGACTGAAGATCTATCAAATCTATCTGCAAATTTGTTGGAGCTTGTTCCACAACAATGTCAAATGTACATAAGAAAATATTAAATATATTCTCATAAATTTTTAAATATGAAAATCTTTCTTGAAATTCTCTTAGTAAATTAGTAATTTCTTGGGCATATTTAAAAAATGTTTTTTGTCACTATTAAAATTATGTAATTTTGGATGATGAATGTAGTTTTTGATTTTAACTGACTTTCATAAAGTTTGAATTCTGCTATGAATGCTTCTATATTTTGATAATAGTCTGTGATCAATTTGTGTTTACCTTCACCTTAAAGCTGCTTATTAAGTTTGTTTAACTTTATTGTGATATTTTAAAGAAAACATAGATCTAAAAGCCTCTGTCCATCATAAAATTTACGAACATTCTGGTCATTTTCATTCATAAAAATTCAAATTCCTTCTCTCAATTTCCAAAATTTCTTTAAGCATTTTCCACGACTTAATTAGCAGAGATAGCTAAACAGAAAAACTTTATTAAAAATGGCTACCAGGGCAAAGAAAAGAAAACCAGTAACTAATGGTCATCTGATTTTGAAATGACCTACAGAACATAACCATTACATGAAGTGCTCCTTGGTGGCTAACTATAATCAAATAACTTACACAGTAAAACATAATTAAACCCATTAACAATCTAAACATGAAATGATTTGAAATTTCAAATCTATATACATGTGTAAATGTTTAATTCTCATTAAAATTTTATTATTTTATTCCAAAGAATTTAAAGAAAACAATACAATTTCTTATTATCTATTGGAACAAAAAAGGCTGTTGTAACTTAAGAATGTGTCTATTATTTGACATTTATTACACATATAGGGCAAATTTAAGGAAATATAATTTCATTATACCAAAACACCAATTTAAAAACATTTGTTGTTGTAAACATACTGATTAAATACATGTATGCATGTACATGCATACATATCTGTATATATATTATATGTAATACATTTAAAGCTTTGTTAAAAAATATTTAATAACTGTTTTAATTTCTTAGTGTACGTGATAAGGTATTATACATCATATTAACCTTTCAACAGTGGAATAGTCAGGTATGGTGCTACCACTTAGTAGTGGAGAATAAACATGCAAAATTTTTAGAGTATTTTTTCACACATTATTTCTCATTATTGTTTCAAAAAAAGATTTTGTAAACAGTTATGTCTAGTAAAGTCTTTTTTTATTGTTACATAATTCATTTTTCATGTGAATTTTTTTTCGCAGTCGTTTTAGGCTAGTTTTTGGTGATAATCCTCAAAAGAACTTGACGATTATAGTCGTCAGCTCACTGCTGAGTGGTTAATGCATACAACTATACATGTGATATTTCATTGAAATAAAAATCTATACAAGATAATTATGGTTTTAAAAGGGCCGCACAAAAGCATTGAGTGGGCCACATAGGCCCATAGGTTGTACATTGCTGCACTAGAAAACAATATTTACAATTTTTCATCATTGTTTAACCTTTTTTTTTTTCATTTTGTTTGTGCCATTTTAGTCAATATCGGTTTTTAAGCATTCATATTCAATTCAATTCCCTTTATTATTATCTTCAGTCAATTCCCTTTGTTATTATCTTTAATCCTGTTAATCAGGTTGATTATTTCTCATAGCTCACATTATCCAGATTAATGATGTATAATTTTTTATAGTCACTCTTAAATATTACATAAGCATTCAGGCTAATGTATTATCTTAACCCCTCTTCAGTGCTGTTTAAAACAATATTACAATAATTATAATATAATATACAATATAAAATACAACAACATAGTTACTTACATAAGAGAATAATTATAAAACAAAACCCCTGGCACACAACTTAAAAAATGTAGTATAAACATAAGTACACTTCTGGCAAGTTATCAAATAGTACTTTTAAAAATTATACACTAATCACATAAAATACCCTAAGTATAATAACTATTTATTAATTTACCTTTTAAATAAACCACTGTAATTTATTACAATCATGTAGAGCACAAGTGGACGCTAATAAAAACTAGTTTTCCACCAAAAAGAAAATATCAACCATTACAATATGTTTGGATATGAGCAAAAGTGCACTACAAGTGTTATTCTATTAAATTATTAAATGCAGCTGATAAAAATAATAATAATCCTATTAAAAACCTGAAAAAAATCAGTGACTACTTACCAGTTTTACATTGACAACACACCATCGACTATGATCTCAACATTGAAAATTTACATATTAAGCACATGATAATATCAATAAAAAACAGAATATTCCTTACTAATTTGTTCAATTCATATGTTAGAATACAAAATTTAAAACACAACTACATTCTGCCCTCTGAACTATATCCTTACTTATTTACAATTAAGTCTTCCTGGGCTCGCACCTATATAACTCATACTGATGATACACACACTATTAGTTTGTATCATCTGTTATCAATACAGTAGATCCCCCTATAAGACGGTAGATACGTTCCGTTCTTTATGAATCAATTTTGTAGGAATCATAGTTTACGGACTACGGCTGTTTGAAAGGTTTTCTTTCATAAAATTAATCGATTCTAGACTAATTCGACTCAACATTTCCAAAATAATAATCCGTATAAACTACGTTATAAACAAAAAATTGTAGGATTGCTTACCGAGTGTGTACCGTTCGACTACGCCCGTTGCTAAAGCTTGGTTTCGTCGCGGAACAGCGCATCAAACCGCGGCCGCGATTTCTGATATTATTTTTCTGCGAAAACTTCGTTGACCTTTGGAGACATCCTTAATATAAATAATTTTTATGGCCGTTAAATAAGAAATGTTTCTTTCACAAGAAATGTATAAAATTACAGTACTGGACAGACGATAGGTCGCCTAACTCGCCGTAGCGTGACGCTAGACGGCGAAAAATATATATTTAATTATAATAAAGTTACAATAAATTAAGTTAATATATAATTATATATACAGTACCTAATTTATATATAATTAATATATAATTATATGTACAGTACCTAATTTATATATAATTATATGAACAGACGATACTAAACTCAATTTATCTGCCTAAACGTCCGTAGCGTGGCGCTACGGATGGCGGGAAAGTAGTTTGGCTGCCCGATGACGTTTTACGTATTATAGGAGTTATTTTTACCGTTGTTTACGGATACTGTCACAATTTTTATAGGAATCATAACTATAGGAAACGGTTTTATAGGGGGATCTACTGTACTGCCACAATTTTTATAGGAATCATAACTATAGGAAACGGTTTTATAGGGGGATCTACTGTATTAATACCATCAGAAATGTTCACAATTTCATCTTTGGGGTGTTTTTTTCATTTCTGTATGTTTCTTAAATTTACATTTATAAATGTCTTTTTCTATATGTAGAACTTTGATTTTACTTTTATTAATTCTACAACTATTTAAAGCTGAATGCTCATACCAAGGTGATGAGAATACTTAAGGCATATCACCACTTCATGTCCTCTCTTTTTTCAAGTGTACAGCCTGTTTTACTAATATAGAATTTTGGTTCAGTACATGTACATTCTAACTTGTATACAATATCTTCTTTTTCAAAATCCTTTTTGTCATTCATATTATCATTATTACTAATTCTCTTATCTATATTTTGTGACATTTTATTTGTCAAAGACAGGACCAAACATATTTTGTTTAAGTACATTTACACTAGTTACATTTTTCATATATGGAAAAGAATAATATCTGTTATCTCGTTTAAATTGTTTCATATTATATCTATTATCTAAAATTGTTTGAACCTTTTTTTAATTTTAATTTTGGATAATTAAGTAAAAACTTTTTATCCAGATTTTTTAATTCTATTTCTCTATCTTTAACATTTGACATTCTAACATATTTATTTTTTAATTCCATAATATAAGCATTCTTTTTCATACCTTCTGGACAATATGATTTATAATTAATAGTTTTATCTACATTACATAATTTCTTATGTCAAAAACACGAATTTATCTAATCCATTAACTATGGTTATATAGTAGAGCATTGTTTATCCGAAAGAATTCCAGTCGACAAATTTAAATTTTTGCTAGTGCTGCAGCACTGCAATCTTTGGCTATATCTTGGGCTACTTTAATATTTTTTTTTGTTGATGTGTGTGTTTTAGCTGGCAGCACTGGCACTTTTGTGTGGTGTTTTTCTGAGGACTGTGTGTCATGCTGAATTGAACATTTTTGATACTAGATTAACTTCTGAAGTATATTTTTTTTTGTTTTTATATTTTTCAATGTATTTATTTTGTTTGTAAAAAATAAAGAAATAATTTTTAACGATACAATAGCCATGATGATTATTATAAAAAGTTTACATTGGTCTTAACAGCCACAAAAATTCAACGTGAAACGCCACGCAACGGAGAAAAATTTCAACATGGAATAGGTAAATATATTTTTTCGTACATAATCGGTTATCCAAAAAATAAGTTATCCGAACAACCCCAGTCCCCAATTGATTCGGATAAACAACGCTCTACTGTATCTAAATAATTTAATTTTTTGTTTTTCCATTTCCATATCAAACTGTATATCACTATTAATTTTATATACATAGTTGCAAGAAGTTATTTCATTTATTTGTTTATCTTCATATACTGTATTATTAAATAATCATCTGCATACCTAACACATACTTTAACACCTTTTATATTATTTATTAATTCATCAAAATCTTTCATAACAATTTCTGTTAATTTTAGCCCCATCTATGATCACATACTAATACCATTAGTATGTCTGTAGAAATTATTTCAAAATAATTATTGTTAATTAAAAACAAATTTAATTAATTGTATAAACCAATTTTCTACTTTTAATTTAAATCAAATTCATCTCTATTAATTTCCATCCTATACTTGGATACATTTTGAACATCTAAAACTTAACAATCTATCTGAATTCCCTTTAATTTACTTATTCTATTAATTACTTCATCTGCATTTCTTACAGCAAATTGTGAATACTCAATTTCCATTATTAATTAATCATTGTTTAACATATAAGAATTGTTTATTATATTATTTACAAATTTAAATCTTACCCTTTCTACTGATATTATTCTTCCATTTAATTCTGTTCTGTGTAAATGTTGTATACATTTTGCAGCTTCTTCACTTGTCGCCATTGTTACAAAACCATAGCATCTTGCACCAGGTGTTCGAGCATTTGTAACAATTTTAGCTCCAACCACCTAAAATTAAAAATTTTATAATATTTAATATATGAAATTAAATTATTTTTACAATAGTGAACTAAATTAGTTTCATAAATGATATACATAAAATGTATATTATTATTATTATTATTGTTGTGTTTAGTGGGTTATACTCGGTTCACACTGGTGGCTGTGTACTATGCTGGACCAGAGTAAGGCATAGCAACCAAAATTAAATTAAATAAGTGTGTCAGTGTCTGTATTAAGAAATTTCCTAACAATATGGCATGTATTCAATATAGTGTTATGTATGTATTTCTATTCAATTGTACTGTTTCCAGACTTTTGTGTAGTGTATGTGGTATCACACCTGTACAGGAGAGAACAATAGGTACAATAAGCAGCCTTTCCATTCTCCACAGATGCCTTATTTTCCGGGCGAGTTCTGTGTACTTGCTAATTTTTTCAGTGCATGTGTTTTGTACATTGTGAGTGTTTGGAATGGCTATGTCTATATGTATGTAATTTTATTGTGTTTGTCAATGAGTGTGATGTCTGGTCTGTTGTGGTAAATTGTTTTATCTGTGATTATGGCTCTGTTGTAGTACATTTTGTGCGTGTTGTTTTCCAATACTGTCTGTGGAATGTATTTGTAGTATGGTTCGTGAATGTCTACCAATTTGTATTTCTTTGCAAGCTCTTGGTGTATTATATTTGCTACTTGATTGTGTCTATGTAAATTATCTGTCTATGCCAAGAGCTTGCACCCAGAAGTGATGTGTTGTATAGTTTCTGGCATGATTGGCATTTTCTGCATGTGTCATTCGTGAGTGTTGTATCTTTGAGTATGTGTTTTCTGTAGTTTTTAGTATTTATGACCTGATCCTGTATGGCAATCATGAATCCTTCTGTCTCCTCAAAGAGGCATCCCCAATCTAAAAAGCTGTTTGACGCAGTTTTGTCAACAAAATCCTGGGCCAGGTCATAAGGATGCTTGCATGGAGTGCCTTTCAAGTCCATGATTGCTTAATGGTGTTTATGCTTTTTATATGTTGTGTCATGTCTGTATGATGTGAGTTTAAGTTTAATGGTGTGTTATTTAAGTCTGCTAGAGTTACTGCTTTATGTAATTGTGATGTTTGTTGCTTTCTGTAGAAAAACTCTCGCCGTGACTGTATTTGTTTGTAGTGAAGGTTAACTATGTCAATCAGGCCATGTCCGCCATCTTTACGTGGAAGGGTTAATCTTTCTGTGGCGGATTTAGGATGATGTTGTTTATGCTTAGTAAGTGTTGTTCTTGTTTTCCTTTGAAGTTGCTCAAGATCTGTGTGAGTCCAATGTATAACTCCAAAAGAGTTTGTGAGTACTGGGACAACATATGTGTTTATTGCTTTAACTGTGTGTTTTGCATTTAGCTGTGTTTTGAGAATGGCATTTAAACTACTTTGGTATTCTTTAATTAATCTTTGCTTTATTTGTGTATGTTCTGTTAGTTTGGCCTGTTGGAATCCTAAATACTTCTAGAACTCACCCTCTTCCATGGATTCAATAATGTCTCCATTTCCAAGTGCAAAATCTTCTTTCTTCAGGATTCCTTTTTCTATGTGAAGTGTTTTGCATTTGTCTAAGCCAAACTCTATTTGTATGTCCTTGGTGTATGAATGTGCAATTTGTAGGAGTTGATGAAGTTGTTTTTGTGTGAATGCATAAAGTTTTATGTCGTCCATGTACATGAGATGTGACAGCATAAACTGTGTTGTTTTTTTCATGTCTGATATTGTAGCCATAATGCGTGTTGTTTAACATGTTGGATAATGGATTCAGGGCTAGGCAGAACCAGAGAGGACCCAAGGAATCTCCTTGAGAAATTCCTTGCCTAATGAATATTTTGTTTGTTTGTATGGAAGTGTTACTAACCTGAGATGTAGTGTTGCTCTCCAGTGCTGCATAGTGTTTTCGAAGAATGCAATGAGTGATGGATGTATTTTGTACGTGTGTAGAATATGTAACAGCCAACTGTGTGGAACACTGTTGAATGCTTTTCTGTAGTCTATATATGCCATGTGTATGTTTCTGTGTTGTTTGTGTGCTTGCCATAGAATGACTGAATCTATGAGTAACTGTTCTTTGCATCCCCTGTGATTTCTAAGGCAACCTTTTTGTTGTTCTGTAAGAATGTCATGTTCTTCAATATGTTTGTATATTTTGTTTGTGATACTTGCTGTCAATAATTTGTAGAGTGTTGGAAGACACGCAATTGGTCTGTATTTATCATCATCATCATCTGAAATGGAGATATAATTACAAATTTTTTTCAATAAAAGATTGTTCATTGATTTTCCATAATAATATCAGAAGTGTCATAATAGGTAAAAATCAGAATTATGAAAAGATTACACATATAACTAACTAATCACAAAGATGATGTCATAAATAGCATCATTATAATATACTAGCAGACTCCGCCAAGCGTTGTTGTGGCTCAAAATGTATCTATTATAAATTTATAACACTTCCCCCGTGGGGGAGAATTTTTCGAAAAATTTCTTCTTAGTGTACATTCTGTTGACGTACCCTATTAAAATGCAATCAAAAACGCAAAAACCCGCATCTAAAATAGTATAAATTGAAGCAGAGTTCTTTACCATAAGCTTTAATCCTAACCATCTCTCTTCAGTGGGGTTGAATTTCGAGATGTTTATTATATAAAACCACATGCGTATTCGAATGCAGAATTGTGTCAAAATTTCAAATGAATCGGTAGGAACAAACATTACATTTTTATTTATATAAATAGATAAATGATGATCTGCTTTAGTTCATTTTCACAGAAAAGCAAACTTAGGGCATCGTACATGTAGCGCCATCTGTTGGACATAAAAGCTTTAACCTAGATTATATATTTTAATTTATATGAATGTTTAATGGAATAATATACAGCCTATGTCCACCCTGAAGTTCCATTCTAAATATTGGTGAAAGAATTTTTGAAATCAGATGAGTAGTTTCGGAGATTACCTGCTGCATACAAACTTACAAACATTACCTCTTTATAATTACAATATATTGCCAAAACTTATTTGTAATAACACCAGTAATAATGAATGATCGATCTATAATCCTAAATACAGTAGATGACACTAGTTAAAATTAGAAGAGCCATTTATTTGAGAGAAAATGCACAGAACAAACAAATCAATGTATATAATATAAATTTGTGCCAATTATTTAAGACAGTGTCATAAGATGAACTATAACCTATTAACTAAAATAGAAAATGGTATTCTACAGAAATTTCTCTTAAATTTGCTATGCCTAAAAATTAGGTTGGAACAAAGATAAAAGTAATTTTGGCATTTGCTTAATCTGGTCCATTTTAACCATAACAGTTTCAACTCTACAGGGAGAGGATTCCTGGAAGAAACTGTGGCACGCAGCTAAATAAGCAAACCAATGGTATAATGTGTTTCATACGTAACAGATCATATCATTGCCACTTATAATTTACCTTTCACTAAGAATACATACATCATTCTACAAATTGACTAAAGAGAAAGACTGCATTCTTTCTTATTTTGTCTTCCTTGTTTTGTTTCAACTAGATCATAATATAAGTACAGTAATTTCCACCTTAAAAGAATTTTCTGTTGTGAATAACCTAAATCTGAGTAACATATTTCCTTGTAGTATATGCTTGTTTACAACTATATTAATCACTTTAGGTATAAATGCAACTTATACAATATGTTAACATTCCTATTACAAACTATATTTTGTTTTTTTGTTTCTTTTTCAGCACATTTCAAATTCTTACCAAATGCAATGTAAACATTTGTCACTTTCTGAGAAAATTATTGGTTGGTTTTTAATCTTAAAAATGAGGTGGTTGGTTTTAAATCTTACCAAGAATGATAAAATTAAAAACCTAACACCAGTCATTATCATCTGTCAAAAATACTGATGTTCCAAAATCAACAGTTTCACAATTGCTTATAACAAGGAAAAAAGAGGAGTGGACTCTGAAACAGGGGTTTACAAAAAACATTCCAAAAATGAAAGAGGGAAAGTAAAGATCCAGACATTGAGAAATTATTGAATCAGTGGTTTTCTGTTGTAACAGGACAGACATGTAAATAAATGATCCTACATTAACTCTTTAAACACAAAAACTGGCCAAAATTGATTTAATTCATTCAAGATGAAATCAGCTAAAGGGAAAATGTTTTTGCTATACAAATTCCCCCTGTAGCTTGAAGAGTAAAAATAATTTGATCTCCAGGTTAAATACCTGGAGATCAAATTATTTTTAGAAGAAAAAAAGAAGAAAGAAGAAATTTTCAGAGCTTAAAGAGTTAAAGACCAAGACAAAAGGATTTGCCAAAAAATTAGGTCAAGTGAATTTCAAGCAGCAGATGATTGGCTATCACAACAGAAACATAGGCATAACATTAATTACAAAAAACCATGTGGTAAGAAGAACAGCCTGATGCTGTAAGTGCTGAGCAATGACAATCTATCAAACTGATTTTCCTAACACATTTAATATAGACAAAATAGAAAATCATCTGTTATGCTATGACAGATGGTTCTGTGGCTATATACATGTGACATTGGTTTAAAAAAAATTGATCACAAATATAATGTGCTTCTCAGACATAACAGAAAATGATAAGAGGAAATTTAGTTATTGGAAAGTGCTAAACCTTTCTACTTCAAGGGTTTACAATAGATAGTTTGCCAGTTTAACAAGAATGCCTGAATAAACTTGAATATTTTCTCAAAACAGCTAATGAGCTGAGATACAAAACTGCAACAGAAAGCCAGAAAAATTCTGTTAATTTTGGACAACTGCACAGCAAAAACCTAATATATGTAACTTAAGAAATATTGAATTGGAATTTTTATTCCCTAACACCACATCTGTCATCAAAAATTTCAACATCCATTATTGTGGAAGGTTGATTGATTAATCATATCCATGAAGCAATTGAGATAAATTGTCTGATATCATCTAAAAGCTACTGAAATTAATGGAAGGGTTTATATGTTAACAGCAATACAATCAGTTGTCAATAGTTGGTGGTGAAGTTCCACATTTAAATTCATAAAATCACATTTAGCAAAACAATTCAAATTTTTTTTTGCTAAATGTGATTTTATGAATTTGAATAAGGAAATTCAGGTAAGAACTACAGAGAAAATGAAACAACTTCAATGCCACAATTAAAACAAAGATTGAGATCATGATTACAAATAAACTGACATGCCAAAAAATTAGTCAGCAGCACACACAATGTTGTTACCTTCTATCTGAAGAGAAATGCTTTGAGCTGAAACATTTGTATGTGACACCATAGGTATAATACTTATCATTTGTGTGTGTGTGCTTGATTAGAATAGCAAACAGGCTGTGTAATGAATTTATCATTGTTTGATTGTAGACAGATTGTTGGAGCAAAAGGAATGTGTTACTCTATCAGCAAGATGGCTAATGCTCTTGGATTTTCTCATGCAACAGTTTCAAAGAGTTTATTCCAGACGGACATTAGCAACATGTGCACAGTGTGAGTGTCCATGGATGATGCAAGAATGTGACTACCAGCAGCTAACAGTTAGTAACCACACAACAAAGTGCAATTATGTGCCAAATCACATCAACTTCAAAGTAGGTACTGCTGAAACCCATACACTGTATTCCTTGGAGTTTGGTACCACTTTGTACCACTCAGGTACCACTACTAACTCCCAGGCATCATGCAATGCACACATCTGGGCCAGAGAACATTGGATGACTAGCACTGTTATGTGGTCAGACAAATCTCATTCATTATAATACTTGTTCAATAGACTAACTGGAAAAATTGTTTGCAGCTTATCAGGATCGCATCCACATAACTAGACCAACTTCTTAACCAAGTCAAAGGATCTATTTCCTCAATGGCCGAATTAAGCAAAATCCACTGCAATATTTTTAAATTAAATTAAAATTAATAATAAATTAGTGAAGGTCACTAAATTATTATTAATCAGCATTAACCAATGATAAAATTAACAAAATTCCTGAATTGAAAATTTATACCAGCAATAGCTGAAACAGATGGTCAAAATGCGTAACTAAACAACATTTAAAGTTTTATACTTTTACAAGTAAATAAAATCTAGCAACTTACTTTTCCTTGTTTGCTAAATAAACTTTTAAGTTCAGTAGCCCTTGTACCAGGAGCTAAGCCACTAACCCATAAATTTCTTGTGCTCTGTGGTTCTCTCTTTGGTCTATCACCTAAATTTACAAAAAATATATAGTAATTAGGCAATTTAATTTTATAACAACAAAATTCATTAAACTATTAATACTATTTAATGATAGAATTATACTCTTTGACAATATCTATATATATATATATATGTGTGTGGTGCCCGCCCCCCACGTCGTGATTTGGACAAGTCCGATGTTGTGCGCAGGAATTTGGCGCAGGCGGGAAAAAATGAACCGTTAGAATCACGACGTAGCGCTAAAGACGTGCCAGCTCAAAGACGATAATATTTGTTCAACAATTAGTATTAAGATAATTTGTTTAGTGTTCTTTGTTTGTAACGTTCCTTTTGTGTATCATATTAAAATTACGTCATTATATACCATAAGAAGTTCCTCGTATTCTTTCTTAAACTGTGTTCCGTATATACTTGTTAATGCCCAGCCCAGCCATCTTTAGACATCCACATATATATATTTTAAATTTTAATTTAAGTTTGTTTTTGTTTTTTCATTATAAACAGAGCAAAACAAATAAACTTTATCATAATTAATTATTCACAAAATTAAGATTTTTATTCTTTAGACTAGCAAATATCCAAATAAACTTAAATTGTAGCACACTTTTCAAAAGTTAATATCTGATATTTTGAAAATAATTTCATTAAGATTAAAATAACAAGTCAAAATCATGTACAGTACAAACTATATGATCAATTAAATTTTAAATTATTTAAATTTTTCATACCTTTATCATCTTTGCTCAACCCCTTTGAACCTTTGGCTGTGGCACTGAATTTGAAATCAGAGAAGTTAGACATTCAATGCAAAAAAATGTTTTATATAATTAGACAAATTTTAAATAGTTAAAATTAGTTTTTATTTCGTTAATTTTAAAAATGACAAAAAAAAAATTTTGTATTAAAAGTGTTTTTGATAAGTTTCACCAAAAAATTATTTCCAATCCTTTCCTGAAATTTTACATCATAAGCCATCGTCGGAACTTGAACTTAAAAGACAGTTGTTTCATTAGCAAAATATATATGTATATGTAGAGTATATTGAGAAATATACATACATTCACATATATATTTAATCTTCTTGAATTAACTTATATTTGCTTTTTTACAAACATCTGTATATTTAATATGCACAATAAATCTGAAATTCTTTAATATTTTCTTTCATATTCCAAGGCAATTATTCTGATGAATGTTCACTAATTTTAAGATTTTTCTGAACTTCATTATCTCCTGGTATAATAAATTTATAATTTCAGATATATACAGTATATATATAGCTGGAATTAAGATATGTTTACATATTAAAATATTGTAATGGATAGAAACATAACATGTTTATACATAGATCGATTTCTATCTTTCCTCAGATTAAATTAAAATTCTTGGGATGAAGATGAATTCATATAATATTGCCAAAATAAAAACTTTCAAAACATGCTTCAATTTCAGGCTTTTGTATTCTTCCTAAACTAGTTATTTACTAGATAATTTATCTATATTTCCTATTTATTTTCAAGCTCCAAAAATAAATGCTTGAAATTTCAAAATCATTGAATTTTTACTGATTGTTCCTTATTTCTTCTTACAAATGCATCATATCTCTGACAAAGAAAAAGAAATGAATTCTGAATTTTTCTTCTTACATTCAATGTTGCAGCACTAAAGGTGAATCTGATTTTATCAAAAACACTATACTAAATATTGATTTTAAAGTTTACAATAATTATAAGTTATACTATAATAATTTCAGTGTTCACTGTTTTGGCTTCTGAACGATCTTAAAATGATACCTATTGAAACTTACAACAAATATGAGATGCAACATGAGATACCAATTTGGTATTTTTTTTGCATCAACTTTTCATAACCGATCAATAAACAAACCTCTTGGACTTGGCAGTAGCTGGAGTTGAGGATGCAGTTGATACAGCTGAGATTTCCAAGGAAGACTTGCCAGCAGTGTCGTCTTCCTCACTCTTGGATTTCTCATCAGTGCTTTTATATTGGTTGTTTCCTACATCCAACTCTTTTGCGTCAGTTCCACTTTTATTGTCTGCCTGTTCTTTTGTTGTTTCATCAAATTCTTCATATTCGGCATCAACAGACATTACTTCTGAAGTATCTGCTGTCTTGTTAGATTTGTTGCTAGTTTTTTCAACTTTGTCACCCCCCTCTTCAATCGGTTTGTCTTCATTTTTATCTTCCCGACCAAGGTCACTGCTTCCTTCACACAATGAAGGCTCAAGATCACCATCGATGTCACTGTGAGTGTCATCTACATGAACAATTAATGAAGCATTATCATTGGCTTTTAATACTGCAAGGTGTCAAGATTGAGAGTATCATCAACTTTCATGGGGGCAATTACTGGAGCTGACTCTGGATTTTGGAGGGGAATACTCGTAACAAGGATTAAACTCCTATCTCCAGGAGTAATCCCATTTAATCTTATAATTTCTCCCAAAACATTTATATAGATCATTCTTTTTCTGATTTTCAACTCTCTTCCAACCTCTTCATTATAAAAATGTAGTAGTTGCTTCTTAGAGATGTACTATTGGTAATAAATTTTAATTCCATAGGACAAATTTTAATACCAATAAATAGCACATTTAGGCCAATAAAAGCCTATTATATGCTCTCATGGAGTAATATTACTGCCTATAATTACAGGCTTGGGAGTACAGCAGAGTCAGCACAATACTTACCCTCGTAATAGAGGAGGCAAAAGATCAAAATGTATTTATATTAGAATAAAAAACACCTGTTGAAATATATCATTACAAAATTAAATATATTTGCAACTTATTTTTACTAAATTAACTAAAAGACAAAATTGTCTTTAATTTCAAATCATATTCAGAATCTAGTTAAAACTTCTTATATCTGGAAATAAAATTAATGGATTCTTCAGAATCATATCCTGTAATAAAAAATTTTTTATTCGTCGAAATATACCTTTTGTTGATTTAAAGAAGCTTGATTTTGAATTCTTGTAGCCTGCAAAAAAAATCCCAAAAACCTTTGCATATTTCCATATTATAGAGAAATATATTATTCTTGGAATTCAATGTGATGAAAATGGGAAACTATCCAAACAAAATTAGTGATCTCCATTCAATTTACCTATTAGAAGAAATTCTATGATATGCATTTAAATTCTTGGGCATTTTTTTTCATGCAACATTCAAAATATCACACTCAAGTGTGATAAGAGATAATCTTGAAATTACTGATGTTTTCTTTTAATAGTTGTTTATTTTGCCAACAACAATGGATGATTCATATTTAATGATGATAGAATTTTATCTGAATATATTATCAAGCAAAGTTAGTGCAATATAATTATCATCCTCATAACCTTCTTAAACTGTTGACAGAAAAGTATCTTCAAAAATAGTATCACTTGTATCAGCATTATCTTCAGGTAATTTAAATGAGCAATTTATGATTCCAAGTAAAATAGAATTAACAAATATAATTTATAAAAATAAGTCTTTTATAAAAGAAATTTAACAAATTTATTTGATTCTAAATAAATTTTAACAAGCAATGTAAAATCTTACCTTTCCCTCTAGAATCAGCATTTTCTTCCTGAAAGAGGTTTGGTATTAAACTTATAATTTTGAATTATTAATGAATTTATTCACTGCTTAGTAAATAATCACTTAATATAATTGTGTAAATAATACTTTATAATTTAAATACAAGGTCTAATCAAAAAGTATCCAGACTGGACTTTTAAGTAAGAAATCATGTGATACAGCATGAAGTTGTTTTGCACAGACTGATCTTGCCTGTACCATGAGTCATATCTCACCTGGCTAACAGTCCTTTCACAGTAACTATACATTTTTGCATTCATTCAGATGTTCAATGCAGAACCTATTGCATAGTAATGTCTGAAAAAACTGAGCAATGAATTTGCATAAAATTTTGTCAAAAACATTACAGGTATGACCCTGAAAACTAAAGACCTAGTCTTAACAGTAGTACATCAAGCTCTCCCAGCTCCAAAAATGCATGACAGAACAACCACAGCAGGGTCAAAATGATGCTGACTGTTTTTTCAATCATGAGCATATCATGCATTATAAATACATCCCATCAGGTGAGATAATAACCAAAGAGTCTTATAAGTTTCAAGGCATTTGCATGACAATTCATTGGAAAAAGCGGATATTTCAGTGACAAGTAGAAAATCCATCATGATATTGCATGCACTTTTACACAGGTACAACCTCCACCTTACTCACCAGATCTTGTCCCGTGACTTTTCTGCTTCTCAAAAATCAAAATGCAGCAGAAATGAAAAAGCTTTCAGGATATTCTGGAGATTCATGCAACACAGTAGCTTTTTGCTACTTCCAACGATGATGCTAAAAAACGTTTTGAACAGTGGAAACAGTTGACTTCAGAAAGAGACTAAAAGATTTGAACTTAGGTACTCTCCAAGTATTTTATTGTTTGTAATATAAATCCAGTTTGGAAACTTTCTGATCAGACCTCATAATAAATTCATAAAAAATTTTAAAAAGTTAATTTTATTAGCAATTTAATATTTACCTCTTCATTCAATTTTTCTTCTTCACCTATTGATAACTGTAGTGCATCTTCTGTCACATCATCCGTTTCCAGCATATTCTATTTGAATAAATAAATAAATATTTAATATTCTAAATAAATTACAGCAAAATTTATGTCTTTATTATAAACATTTTATGATGTAATAAATATTAGTTACTTAAATTATCTTTTTAAATATTTTCATTACTACTCAATGAATGGGAATAAATGGGAAGTTATCACCGCCAAAGTATGGCAGTGATAACTTCCCATTTATGCAAACTATTGAATAGATGTTATTTTTTTGTGCCATAGCAAATAATTTTATTTACATTTGTTTCTGTGCTTTGTGTATAAGTTGTTTATAGAGAAATATTCAGTATGTGTATCCATCTGCAATGTTTCTTATATGGCCATAACTTCAAATTAAAGCTAGCGTAAGATTTAAAGTGCAAGTTCAGTTAAAATTGGTATTCACCAACTTCCAGATTCAACTCTTCAATCTGCATTATGATTTAACTTCTGTCACTACAATCAGTCCTCATACATTACATTTGTTTTTATTCAGTAATACAAAGACAGCCTAGTGTAATCAATTTTTTACATTTGGATAAAGATAGACTTTGCTTGACTTGGACAAATGTGATAAGTTAACAGGGGGACTACTATAATACTGTCGGTATGTTTTGCTTAGTTTGCCCTTGTTCAGGCCCAAAGTGGAGCTCATTCCTCTGTACCCAACAACACTTCAATTTGTAAGATATCATGAGATAACAGTGTGTGTAACATTTTTCTTCCTTGCAGTGATATTCACTGCAAGGAAGAAAAATGTTACAACAGAATCTGATATTTTTTTGACATTAACTACAGTTTGAACTGAACCAACTGACAAGGAAGTTTTTCATTTTTAAAAGTTTTAAACAGGCTTTTACCATTAAAAAAATATTTTCTATGACAAGTTTTTTGAAAGTTTCTTTCTAATGATGCTACTTAAAAGTATGATATTGTTATGAGCTGTGTGGCTCAGGATATAAATTCAGAATACAGTTTATCAAAACTAACACTTTTTCTTTAGATACACTAACAACAAAAACGATATATTACTCATTAAAAGAAAAACATCTTGAACACTTTTTTTTCAAATTGTTCTTTTCTTTGAATCATTCTTTTTTTTTTCCCCGCCACTCTCCACACCATGGTGCTAGTCTCCCCCGGAGCCAGTGTGACAATATAATTGAAACTATACTTTTTAATAATAATAATAATAATAATAACTTTTTGTAATAATATTTGTATATCAGAACACACCGAACCAGAAGTAAACGCAAATCCTTTACAACAATTTGAAGGACAGGCAGATGAGGCACTGGATGAACAACCAGGAACTTTAGCAACAAGGCAACAAGAGCTTAAGGATAAAATCGTGGCTCACCGTGCAGTTATGCAATGCTACTATGCATCAGAACCTCAGACGCGTGGTTACCAAAAGCGGATGCACCAACTGTGGAAACAAGAATACCCTGATTCACAAATAACTGAACTTCAACTTGCTGATCAGAGAAGATTTATTGTCAGAACTAAGGTTTTCAGTGAACTTGAACTTGAAGAGATTCAGAGGCTCAGTGAGACTGCTGGGCAGCAGTTCTCACATCTGACAGTGGCAGAAACTCCAATGATATTTGGAGCATCAGAACACACTGAACCAGAAGTAAATGTGAACCCTTTACAACAATTTGAAGGACAGGCAGCTGAGGCACTGGGTGAACAAACAGGAACTTTAACAACAAGGCAACAAGAGCTTAAGGATAAAATCATGGCTCATGCAGCATTAACTGCAGTAAGAAAGCACCTTCCACCTTTGAAAATGATACCAAAAAAATACCTGGCTCCTATCGTGAAGGACATGAATACATTACTTTCTACTATCCAAATAACATCCATTGAGCAGACAAATCAGATTGCCTACAGTACCGCATTGGTAGTAACAGAGGAGTTGGGGCTCTTAAAACCAATGCAACCAACAAGAAAGTCAAACCAAAAACCAAAATGGAAGATCAGGTTGGAATTGAAAATCAAAAATCTGCAATCAGATGTGAGTAATTTGAAAAATATGAAAGAAAAGAAATTGAAGAATGCTAAAATCAAGCAATACTTGGTTAGAAAGTATTGGCTGAACACACGGAAAATTGAGGAGGCTTTGGAAATTGTAAAAGAACAAATTGTAGCGACAGCGAGGAAAATCGAAAGATACGAGGCCAGGATCATCCAGTACAGGCAAAATCAACTATTTCAGACAGACCAAAGACGGTTTTACCAAAGTCTGAGTAAACCAAGAGATAGAGTAACTGAACAGCCTGAGAAAGCAGCAACAATTGAGTTTTGGAGAGAACTCTGGGAAAATGAGAACAATTATAACAAAAATGCTGAATTGATAAAGGAGTTTGAAGTGAGATTCTTAAAGAACAAAATGCAACAGATGGAAATAACAACTGCAATGATTAATAGGCAATTAAAAAAAGCTAGGAATTGGACTTCACCTGGCAATGATCAGTTGCATGGATTTTGGCTTAAATACTTGACCTCTCTGCATAAAAAAATGGCTCAGCAATTCAACAAGATGCTGCAAAATGGAAACATCAAAGAATGGTTAGCAGTTGGAAGAACATATTTGATACAAAAAGATTCAGTAAAGGGAATAGTGCCAGGAAACTATAGACCAATCACTTGTCTGCCCACTATGTTTAAATTGTTGACCGGGATCATTGCTGATGGGATTCAAGATTATCTTGAAGAGAATGATATTGTGCCAGTTGAACAGAAAGGAAACAAACGAAAAAGTAGAGGCACGAAAGATCAGCTTTTAATTGACAAAATGATTCTGGACAATTGTAAAAGCCGAAAAACTAATTTACACATGACATGGATTGATTACAAAAAAGCTTTTGACTTACTTCCACATAGTTGGATAGTTAAGTGTTTAGATACTATTGGAGTGTGCAAAACGGTTGGCAACTTTGTTGCAAATATGATG